GTTCAATCCTAGCCAGTCGCGATGGATGAATTAAAAAGAGAAAAAAAAAACTTTAAAGATCTGACCCATTTGAAGTATAAATAAATATGCTTTATCAAATAAAAATAAATGATGATGATGAGAATTGGTTGATTTGTTGGGTTCATGAACCATTCAAAAGAGACAATATCTCAGTTGAGTGCATTGTATAGATTAAAAAAACTAAAAAAGTAGGGACAGGGGTGAGACAAGGGTAAAAGAAAATAATAATAATTTCTCTTTTACATATGTTCGTTTCAACTTTCATCATATCATATCCAACTTTTTTCATTTTTTTTCTTTCGGATTATCATATCCAACTTTTGCTCCTTTGTTTTGTTTGCATGCGAGACATATTTTGTAGAATATTGAAAAAAAATAAAAACATATAAAACATGCCCAGTACGTAGAAGTAATTGTAATTATTTATCTACTAAAGTGAGTATAGTGCAACGATAATTGACATATATTTCACGTGTTCAATTCTCCATCTCCACACATAGTAAAATAAAAATTGCAACTATTTATCTCAAAAAAATAGTAATAAAAAATATGCAATTACAATCGTTGTCCTAAAAGAGAAATAAAGTAATTTCCACCCATAGTATTAGTATATAACGTGCAAAATACAATGATGCAATAGGACAAGTGAATTCACTTTTCACTTTTTACTTTTTTACTCGGCTGTACAAGTTTTTTTCCCTTTCTTTTGAATGAGACTGTACAAGTGTCTAATAATATATTTTTACAAACCTACGTTCTTGTGTTTAACGCAAATGACATAAACATGGTTATAATTACACCTATAAATTTTAAATTATAAAAATTAAATCCTTAAATTTTTACCGATGAAAAAATTGCATTCATAGACTTTAAATAGTAAAAATATAAGGAAAAAACTTTAGCAACTTAAAGTTAAATGAGGAATTTCATCCTTGACGCTATTAAATATTTGATAATTCACAATTAATTTTTTTTTTGTTTTTGTATTTCTGTCTCTTAATTGTCAAATATTTCATGTTGCTAGGGAGGAAGTTTCTTTTTTAACTCTAAGAAACCAATTTTTTTTTCAAAGTGTAAACTTTCAAATTTTCATCAGTGAAAAAATTTCACACGTAAATTTTTAAATTGTAAAAATTAAACCATCAAACTTTTACAAGGGAAAAAATCATACCATTAAACTTTATTGATTAAACAATTATTAGATTGAAACAATTTAAAATTTAAAATGGATCAAAGAAGTATGATTATATATTCCAATATAACTCATTGATTAAGGTATTTTTACCTTCTGTAGAAGGTTATTGATTTAAAACTCAATGTAATGTTGTGAAAAACTATATACAATTTTGTTTATATTAAATTTTAAAAGTCAATTTGATGTAAGTAAAAATTTGCGTATCGCAGGAATACCTAGCTACTTTATTTATTCACATTATTAAGAAATGATCCTTTGATATCAATAAACACTACATGATTTTTATTGTAGTCCCGGTGCGGCAGATAATAAATAAAACAAATATTCATATTTAAGTTATTGTTTATTATTAAATTTATTCTAAAAATATATTATCCACCAAACTATTTTTAAGAATAATGCTTGAAAAATAGATGGTCAACCCATCCTATAAAGTGGCAGTTATAGGTCATCTCTGAGTCATTTCTTGAAGAGACGGTTTGTTAACATGACACTTCATGTTTGATTTTTTTTTTAATTTGCATCATGTCCTCTAGAGACGACCTCTTTAGCTATGTATTGTAGATCGTCTCTTGAGAGACGACTTGTTCTCAAAATCTAATAGTATTTCTGAGATCTTTTTTTTAAATAAAATTTAACTAAAAAATCTAATCAAATTTAAAACAAATTATTTTTTAAAATACAAACTTTAAATTAAATTCAACTATAAAAAAAATCTAACAAAATCTAGAAAAAAAAAACATATTATAAAAAAATTGATCTAAAAAACAAACTTTAAATTAAGTTTAACTATAAAATATGTAACAAAATTTTAAAAGACTAATTATAAAAAGATCATTAAAAAATACCAACTTTAAATTAAATTTAGCTAACAAAATTTTAATACATACGAATAAAAGAATGTTAATTTAACTAATTATTATTTAATATTTAAATTTTAAACTAAATACGGTGGTATCTTAGATTATAGTCAAATATATGCTTGTTCCATAGAGTTATCTGCAATTCAATAGTGTTGATTCATCGATCTCCAACTTGACAATCACTCAGCACTTATTTTTCCTTCACCAATCTCTCTCTCCTTAGTCACTTCAATCGGTAGATCACAACTTTAGTAAAAATTAATTTTCTATCTATCACATTTAGACTTAGTTATAAAATTCCACATAACAATGGCCTATCATTGATCTCGGCCTTTTCATTAATATTAATGGGAAATGTACCATTCTATTTAAGGTTTGTTTTTAGATTTTATTAGATTTGTTGAGTTAAATTTGATTTGATTTTTGTTTTCATAAAATATTAAGAAAATCTTGGGAGGGTCACATACAAAACTTAGAAACGACAATTTGTGAATTTTAATAAAAAATGTGCTACATTAATAGATTGTATTTTCGAGAGAGGACTTGTACCACCTCATTAATTATCTCTTGAAGAGACGATCATCTATTTTACTAGAAAAAGATAAATCAAAGAACCACGTTATGACATGTAGCTGTCAGGTCATCTCTACCTATTTCACAAACATTAATTTTTGGAAATAATTTAGTGGATGGAATATTTTTTAAACTAGTTTAATGATAGGCAATATTAAAAATAAATAAATAAAAGTCCCTGGAAAATTTTCCTCCAAAGTTAAGCGTTCACTTCCCGCCCTGTCGAAACAAAACTGGGACTGGGTGGTAGGCTGGCGACGAAAATTGGGCTGGCCGTCGGCCCATTAGGAAGTTGGGGCGGAAAGAAATTGGGGGCCCTGTTACTTTTAATGCCAAGAACTCCAAAATTGTCCAATACTTTCAATAAACATCACTTTCATTTATTTTTAAATTATTTTAAAATACCCATTTACCCTCATGCATTATTTATGCCACGTGGCAGCCATGTAGTGTGAATTCTCTTCTAAAGGACGGGGCGAGGACGGGAATAGCTTCCCATCTCCATCCCCGTCCTCATTTCATTCTCCATTTTGTTAAATTTCAACAGGAAATTATTTTATATTTACTGTTTAAAAGCAAATCAAACTAAAAGTTAGGCATCCCTAATAAATTTTCATTTAAATGTTTAAAGTCATATGAAAAAATCTTATTTTAAAAAATATAAATTAAATTTCTTGAGAACGGCTCATAATTGGTAGTACAAATTATTAAACAAAATCATAATACAACCAATCTTTAATTTCACCATTCTTATCCCACTATCAATACATATAAGTGGTAAACTCACGTTCATCGGATTAACGCATCCATCTTCAATCAAAAGGTCATGAGTAACAATCTCTACTCCTACATGTATTAAGAAAAATGTCGTAAACACATAACAATGTCTCATGAATATCTACTAAAATGGAAATATATATATATATTATAATGTCAATTCAAACTTAACCAAATAACCTTGGAAAGTTAGATGAGGGTTGAACTAAACATTATATTAAATATTTAACCGTTACAGCAATAATTACTATGTCATAAAACCTAACATGAATATAACTCAATATTAATCGACATGTATTCCTTCATCTTTCGAGTTTGAAGGTTTGATTTCTCGTATCCTTAAATTGTTGTATCGGAAGAAGAATTACTATATTATAAAATAAAAAATATGCTATAGCGATGGGCTCAAGCCAGCAGATGGAGGGACTGGGAGAAGCGATGTTGCGCTAAGAGTACAAGATTAACGTGGCGAAGCAATTATCCGACACCAGCGGCCGCAATTCAGAAACAGTTTTATCATTATTTTATTTGAAATAAAGTTGTCAAATAACAATTTCTTTCTGTACCGGTACGTATTACACTTCTTAGAAAAATTTAATTATTTTATATCAAAAATAATTTGAAATATTTGTTAACGGAATAAATGTTAAACTTGTAATTTAGGGTTTTGTTTGAGACTTTAGGGGAGGAAAATTAAAAAGGAAATCTTTGTAACGGTTGAAACATAAAATGGCACATCAATTGAATTGGGTGGTTCAAATAGGTCCAAGGGTCATAAGTAAAATGGAAAAGTTTGAAATATTGACTCGAATGGCATAGAGAAGGGCTGCACGGACTGCGCTCTCTCGATGTGGATACCCATCGTCCACGCACTGATTGACTTGGACGATTGAACTGACAGAACAGATATGTACGATCATATCTAAAGTAATGCACTAAAATGACTGAGGTGATAATTGCGCTGCCTAACAAAAGAAAGATCTCCAGAAGGTGAATATTATTGTTTAATGAGAATAAAAAGGTTAGGGGAGGTTTAGTTTTTGCAAGTTTGGAGTTTGGAAGGTGAAATGCGGTGGCGCGATTCCAATTCGTTATTCATGGGATTGAGACACCTAATGTGTATGATGAATCAACGTTGGCCGACAATTAATTCCACTCTAGCTCCCTTTTCCAATACAACCAAAATTATATACAAACGATCATTCCTCCGCCTACAACCTCCAACTATACAAATCCAATTAACTCATCATTCTCATGCACTCTCAGCTATCACCTCACAAACTCCCAATCTATACATCCCTATCCCATCACCATTTTCGTCCTTTCCTACAATTAACTTTTTATAATACAAAAATATCATGCCGCCATTCAAACTCGAGTCGATATGCTCCACCTGCTTTCTAAGGGCAACATGTCTTATCAACTTCACCTTAACGATTTCGTCCCAATCATAATGGCCTATTATTATTTAATCAATGAACAATTGTTAAAAAGGATACGAGGGTCAAATAGATAACGCATAACTTATCTATCTCTTAATCAGAGATATGTATCAATTATTTAAGTTCAATATATATATATATATATTTATTTATATAATAAAGAGAAATTGCAGTGGATAGTAAAAATCTTTTATATATTTCGAACTATATCACATCTTTTTCAAATTTTCGAATATACCAAAAAATTTTACTATTATATGAGATAGTAGTATATATTATTAGATATATATATGTAAGTATATCAAACACTCCTATCATATATCAAATGTATATCACATGTATATATGGTATAATTTATCATCTTAAAAAAATTGTTATATTTGAAAAAATTTAAAGGGATTGTTATTTTACTAGATGGTTTGGCCGTATTTGCAACTGTTAGGCAAGGAAAGGGGCAAAGGTAAGTGATTTAGATGATATACCTTGGATTGGAAAATGAAATTCCGCAAGATGCAAAAAAAATGGCGAAGAAAAGAAAAGGAAAAGAGAAAGAAAAATCACTCTCCAAAGTCGAAAGACTCGAAACAAGCAGAAGCGAAGCGCGGCGTTTATGGTAATGGTAATGATAGCATTCGGCGGTGCGTTTTAGCTGACAGCGTCCCTTCCGTGCCTCTGGTCAGTTCGCTTCCCCCACTGACGCACGCACAGATGAAGCCTCTTACTGGACGCCAGAAACATGACCGCCTGCAACGGTCTGAGAATCTCCGTGAGGTGGTTCAGCGTCCGCATCCTCAACTTGTCCGCCGCCTCCATTATTCTCAACATCTCCCCGTCCACCTGCTTCTCCAGCGCTCTCTCCAACTCCTCCTCCGCGGCGGCCTCTTTCGCTCTCATCGCAATCCCCACCACCGTCTGCTCCGCTATCTCCTCCTGCACCCTCGCCAGCTCCGACGTCAGCCTCTCCTCCTCCTTCACCGTCTCCATCTGCAGTCTGTTCAGCTCCTCCAGCTGCTGCGGCGACACGTCTCTCACCTCCTCCACCGACCTCCTCCCCTCCAGAAATTCCACCAGCCGCGCCTCCAGATCCAGCCCCGTCACCGAGTACACCAGCCGGATGAACATCGACGGCCGTCACCCCGCGATCCACATCAGACAGCTCTCCCTCGCCGTGCACCACACCGGCGCGAAGTATCCCGCCACGTCCTTTTTCGCCAATTCGGCTCGCCGATCAATGTAGTCGTGGAATTGCTCGATGCTCTTGTCCACCAGCTTCGTCAGTTCTACCTCGCTTTCTTCCGTGGCTCCCTTCTTCTCGATTGCGTTCAGGGCTTCCAACAGCTCCCTCTGGCTCTCTTCTTGAATTTTCATCCACTCCCTGAAACAGCGGTGCGACATGGAATGGCTGCTGCTGCTGCTGCTGCTTTCGGCCATCATCCAGACAGAAATTTCAAAATCCCAACTCAACGTACTCGCTCACTCCCACTTTCAGGATGTTTTAATTTAATTTTGCGAACGTGTTGAGGCTGTGTCATTCTCATTTATACAAGGAAAGAGCTTCACTCCTCCTCCTGCCTACTCCTCCTGCCTACCCTCACGTGGTCTTATAATAAAAAGTACAAGTGTTGCTTGTTACGTTTTTTTTATTATTTTATTAAATTTCATAATCTGGTCAAAATATCCCCAAATCTCTTCTTTTTTTTTTGTTTAGATTCATTGTAGGATTCTTCTATCTTTTTTCTCTCTTCCTATAACTTCCTACTCCCATCTTTTTCTTCATAATTTTCTTCTCAATCTGTAGGAGCACTGTAACCTCTTTTTTGTCTTCTATTTTATATGGAAGATCCTGCAATCTTTTATTTATAGCCATTTTTTTAAAGAATATAATTGAAGAAGTTTTGGAATATTGGATTAAAGTTGTTAAATTTTTTTTCCAACTTTAACTACAGATGATCAACGATCAGTATTGCATTAGAAGGAGATGAGAGAAAAAAAGAAGTAAGGAGCGACAGCGAGAGAGAGAAAAAATGTGTAGAATCGTCTGACTAGTTTTTTTTTTTAATTAAAAGAGATTTGAGAAGATTTTGACGAAATTATGGATTTTAATAAGATAAATAAAAAAACAACAACCAACACTTGTCCTCCTATCAAAAAAAGAGTACAGTACTTCTCACCGTGGAGGAGCGGAGTTTTTCTTTCTCTTTATATAATAGCTGTTAAGGTGTTTGTGTGTATAAAGAAAAACAAACCGACAAAAGATGGCATGCCGAGTTTTTTAATTAGTTTTCGGGAAATTTCTGGGTTTGATTTTCATCTGGTTTTCTTTCTTCGAATTCTCTTCCACGTCCTTATCTACGTCACCAAAGGAAGACGTGTCGCTCTCTGGGACACTAATTAAATGAAATCAGACTCCATCTCTACTCAGAATCATAAATCAGAACACAG